GCCCCTGCAATGATTCGAACCCGAACTTGTTGCTTTCCGGGCACAAGCTCTCAGCCCTCGCGATTTACTACCGATCTCGGCTAACCGAGACATCTTGTTATATGTGCGAGTGCTATAAGATAAGGAGCTGAACCGGGATGAAATGGTGCTCCGGTAATGTAACTGCAGCGCTATTGCCCGCAAAGCAAGAAATCCGGTCACGAATCCCGGCTGGCCGAAAGTTTTGCCCATAACTCAGCATTCTTGTGATACCTCTCATTAGCAGTTCAGCGCATATTTCCCGATATTACCAGTAGGAGGGCGCAGACGAGGGGAAAATAGGTGCCAAATAGCGTCAGAGCTAAGAATTCTCATATGATACAAAATGGGGCGATGCCGTGCATTGTCGCCAACTGTCGCCGAGGTTAGGATTTCGCTAGGTAGTGCATGACCAAGGAAATCATATGACACGAAAAGGGCCGACGTCGCTCTTTGTCGTACTACAGCTAACCATAAGTTCTGAGACCCGTCTTCCTGTAAAAGGACCAAGGTCTAACGAGGGAGGTCTTTCAGGTGTACCCGCGCTTTCTCAAAACGGTTTTTTGCATGATGTAGAGGGATGTGCGTGGATTACAGAACTGTAGTCCATTTCCGCTAAATGGCTCTCTGAATGCCAAAAAAGGAGTGAAAAAATTTCGTCAGATAGTGCAATTTTTGCGCACTCACCGTGGTTTAATCCGTGAGCCAGGAGGATGTAGGCAGTTCAGGTGGGTAGGGGGGGGATGCGCTGGGGGTCGAGGGGAGTCAGTTGACATGCGTGAAAGGCTAGGATATGAGAGTTTACTCTGTCTGGTTGAGAGTACGCAGGCATGCCGCACCCTTTCCCCCTCCCACCTCTCCTCAACGTTAGTTGAATAGTGCAGACGGATGTTTTTTGAAGAAGTGGTTTCGATTATAAACGTTCGCTATATAGGATGTGATACCACAAGGGAATCAAATAACAAACTCATGGCGGACTCGCTCGAATGGCTCCTCAACGCCTACCTATCATTTTGGAATGTGCTCTTACAAGACGCTGCTCTCGGTACGCTGCCCCTATCCCTATAGTTGTGATTTGGCCAGGGAGGTAAAATATTGAATGGTTTCATAGACGCGTGTTTTTTCTCGAAAGCATCCTTAGTTATAGAAAATTTCCATATTTTGCTGAGTTCCTATACTGTTTTAATGTTTATTCATGTTTATGTTAATGCTTACAATATTCACAGCTTCAGCACTTGCGAAATTCCGTATTGCTATGAGAACCCATAAAACTTGAGTGTTGTTGTTATAATCATTTTTGTTAACGTTTTTGTTATTGCTGTGCTTTTGGATTTATTTGTGGTCTGAGGTCTTTTACAAAGTTCTATCGTTTTACTACCCCGAACTTCAAAGGCATGTATGTCAGCTAAGCAAGACATTTCTAAATTGAAATAAAGCTGTCAATATCTCCAAAGCTCTGCAATAACATACGTTCTCAGTCGGTTCGATTGTTCCGAATGCTGAAGCTCAGGAGGCGATGAACTCACCGAAAATCGTCTCAGCATCACGTTTTGTTTTGATTCGTTCCTTTCCAAGGGAATTGTCGAGGTTCTTGTAAAAGTGACACTCGATAGACAGAGTCTACCGAGTAGATAGTCACAGCATTATTCCGTAGCGTTGCTGATGAATTGTCTAGCGCTGGATGCACGATGTACGTTCAAGACATCCATGAGGGTCGCTTCCTTTGTGATGAGGAGTTCTGCGCTAATGTGTTGGAGTATTCGGTGAATTATGGCGTTCTGGCAAGAGTGCTTTCCCATTGTAATACTTTCACCTGGTGATTTATGTGGATTTTAAGCATTCGTCAGGTAACCTGCAGCATATGGAATCCAGAAGAGAACTGGACCTTTTTCTTTGCGTTTCGGTTGCGATAACCATTGCGTTGTAGGAAACACAACCGATTCTCCCAAGGGGCGTGGTCAATGATTCCGGCCTTCGAAAAACCTTATCTCTCAAAAAGACACGTCAGGGGGAACTGTGTCTGTTAACTCTAAGGCCATTGTTTGACGGAAAATAGGCCAAGCATGCCAACATTTGAAGACACGGAAATTATTGCGAAATTTGCAAAACCGAATTCCAAAATCCAGCTAATAAATGGGTTGGGATGGCGCAAAATGGCGGAGCTGCCTCCCTCATAGTGGCTCTTCAAGGTGGAAGGTGAGCGACAGTTCATATGTTCTCGACTAGGGCTCTCCCATTCTTTCATTCCATTGCGTAGCAAAAGTATGGATCCATCTAGGGTTGTTGCTTTACAGATCAAACTGTGGGGGTGTCGATCGATAAAGGAGGATGCCGAATCGGACTGGAAATGAAATAACGAACCAAACGGAATACCGGATGAACGCCGATAGATATTCGTCCGTAAGTTCATATTTTCGCCAGCAGATCACTTGTAAGCTAGCGCCATTGTCACGCATTCGGAGCGCGACAGCGGCACATCTGTGGCACTGTCGTGCGCTACTCTCTTACCTTAATTAGGGTGGCACTTGAGCTGGAGGAGACGATTCCATTGCGCTTTGTTTTTTTTAATGCTGTGGAAATGGAATAGTGGTGAATTAAGTAGATTATTGAGAAGGTTGAAAAAGTGGCACTGAAATAGGTAATAGGTGTCGTTAGTAGGACGTTTGTGGCACAGTTCAGTGCCCCAACTAGTTCGTTTTCTGCAGAGTAGGTTCTGCGGTGGGCAGCTGAGGTTGGCAGAGAAGAATCGGCTCTTTGAATGAAGAATCGGCTCTTTGATGGCGTATTTTGCTGAGCGTTTAGGTTTCGGTGTATTCTGACATATTGCAAGGAATACTACTCCATTATCATGTTTCACCTGTGCTCGGAGGGATGCGCCCAGGGTCAACCGCCCGTTGCGCAATGAACAAGGGTCGTATTTGCCAATGGAAGAGGAGGGGGTCGTAACCTCAAGTACCATTCACAAAATTAGAAGCTGCCAAGGCGTGGCTAAGTGGCAAAGGAGGACAGACTTTCAACTGCCACTGCGACTACGCACCACAGACGATTGAATGGCGCATCCTAGAGCGAGATTTCTTACTAAAATACGTCATGTTCCAGTGAGCACAAGCGGGAAAACTTTTCCAGGAAACTCCCATGCTTCTAAACCAAATCGGAGTGAAGTGCAGCGAATTTGGCTGATTGTGAAGTACTAATAGGAACCTAACTATCAGGAGAAAGTTTTTCCTTCCAAGATAACTCAGCATCTGCTATATAGAACTGGTCTTTTGATTTCATTGGTCTTTACCGCTCCTCAATTTACCGACTTTGAAGAAACTTATGGACCATTCAAGGTTGAAAAGTCGTCTTCCAAGAGAATGGCCCAAAAAAGCCATTGAGGAAAAAAAACGGAACAACGGGACGATTTTTCGAAAGAGTGGTCATTTAGAAAAATCTTGATTTTTTTTTCAAAGGTCAATCTTCTAGTTTCTAATTAGCTTTGAAAATCTGCAAAAGTTAATAATGAAGGAAGTTATGAACGTTTGAATGACGAAAACTCGCGCTTCTCAAAAATCGGACCACAAACCCCTGAAAAACGGAACAACGGGACTATTTTTGAGAAAGTGATCTTTGGAAAAATTTCAGGTGCTTGTTTGAAAGCGCTAATCTTCTAGTTTCTAATTAGCCTTGACATCTGCAAAAAGTTGATTATGAAGAAAGTTATGAATGTTTGAATGTCGAAAACTCGCGTGTGCACAAAAAACGGAACAACGGGAACGGTTTTTTGAAGACTTTTTAGAAAGAAAACAATTTGAAGTTTTTGACTTGTTTTTGTTTGTTTACTGCTGTTTTTGGCCGCAGTTCGCCTTGAATATCCCGCCTGGGCGAAAGTTTTGTTCACAACCCAGCATTCTTGTGAAACAAATGGTTCTTCAATTTTTGTATCCCTTCTCATGATACTGCTTTGAAGAAAGATATGACCTTTGAATGAAGAGGTTTGTATCGTAACGTAATCGCTGCAAGGTTTATTTATACAGTTTATAAAAAAGGAGATTTGCGAGTTCGAAAAAAGCTTGGTAGGTTTCTGAAAGTAGAAATCTCTGCGATACTACCATACCTAGGTTTACGCAAAAATTTGGAAATTCCTTCTATTTAATGAATAAAATTTCATGTTGCCTCGATTCCCTCCTCTGAGCGAGACAGAGCGCGCGGATTGACCACGGTCCACCACTTCTCCATGTCGGTGACTGCCCATACACCGATGATGGCTTAAAATGTAAAAAGACACAATAGCTAATACGGGGGGGTCGTTTGATACCCTTCGAAAGGAAGGGGGTCGTAAAGAATTTTGAAATCTGCGCAACGCACTGTTGACCCTGGTTGCGCCTCCTCCGCATCCTTTTTTAGTACAGTGCCACCCTTGAGATTTTTTTAATTGTAGTCGTGATCGAGCTACACAACTGAAATTCATAGATTATTGAGAAGAATCCATACGTTCGTATCACAATGCAAACGAAAAACAAGTTTCAATTGGATGAAAGATGTTGTAGAAGAACACACGGCTCTTCAGAACCGCGATTTTCTGCTACAGCCCACATCACCTTTTCCGGAGTTAACCTCAAATCAGTTTTCGTAGTTCATGGCGGTCTTCTTAACAGTTCTAACAAGGAAGGTCTTTCAGGGTGTGCCAAGCTTTTTCAAAACGGTCTTTTGCATGATATAGGAGGCACATGCGGGAACCACAGAACCATGGTTAATTTTTCCTGAACGGCCCTCTGAATACCAGAAAAGGGGGTCCCTAGTCACACCTTTTTCACCAGTTTTTCAATCAAAGTCTATTTGTAAGGGTTACTGACGTTCCTAATCATGAATTTGGTACTAATTATTCATGCTAACTCCATTTTGGAAACGTCAACACGAAATGCAAAAACTCACCACGAGGACCCCTTTTCTGGTATTCAGAGAGCCGTTCAGGAAAAATGAACCATGCTTCTGTGGTCCCCATATGTGCCCCAATGTCATGCAAGAAACCATTTTGAAAAAGCTTGGCACACCCTGAACGACCTCCCTTGTAAGTGCCTTTGGTGCGCTCAAGTCTTCCAAATGTTTTAATCAACGTTCACACTCACCGTGGGTGAATCCGTATCTTATTGCCCGGTCAGTTGATGTCTTGTCGCTTTGGAATTCTTTTCTCCCTTTCAGCCGCCCCGTTGCCTTAAATAGTTTCGCTGTCTGACTTTCATTATTCTAGGCTGAGATTGACCATTGTTATTTGCCTGTGAGATTTCTAGAACGCTGATTACGTATTGTAGCTAAAAAGTGGCCACACTAAGACGATGACGGTTTGTGCTTTTAGCGAAAATTAAGTTGGCTGAACTGAGCCTATTCGTACCACTTTTCCCGTGGACCAATGGCGCAGTAGCAGCAGCAGCGTCCTGCTATAAAGTTTGCCCTCGGCTTATGCATACAGAAGCAATACGGTAGTTTTCATCATAAAATGACGGGATGCATGGATGCGTATCGCAGACTGTGCGCCTAGAATTCCCTCGACTGCAATAATTATTCAGATATTCAGGTAACAGCTGTAGGTAAGTGCCGAAAAAACTCGCCATCTCTGCTCGTAATTTTGGCACCAGCTTCTTTTAGGGAAATGCTCGAGGATTCCTCGTACATTACAAATACTCAGCATGAAAACTGTTGCGGCGAATACTGCCTAATCTGCTGTGTTTATTAATGTTACAATGTGAACATAACATTGAGAAGATTACAGCACGCGGTCCCCTGTTCCCTAATGCCCGACCCTCTTGAATTTTTTGTTGATTTGAAAATTTTGAAAGAGCCGGGGTTAGTGACCGGAGTTGGACTTCAGATGAATCCTGTCAGGTAGCATTTGACGCGTCGTTTCGCGTCGCCCTGCTGCAACCCCTGTTATTACGCTAGAGAATGCCGCAAAAGCGGAAGGCCGTGTGAGATCCCCGCCTGAGACGAGACGCTCACTGCTATGACGTGTGCGACAGCTCAGTCACTCGCGAGAGTTTGCTCGGCTCACGGCTCCGTCTTCTGATGACGTCGTGTGGCAGCGGCTGCCGCGCAGCGCCGATCGATGAGCTTCAGCGACGTCGTCGAGAACACCCAACCCAACGGCCAATCCGCCTTCCCCCTGCGCTCGCCTTCAGTGTCTCTCTTCGCATGCCTAGCATACAGGCTGCGCTACCATCCCCCAGTCATGGTAAGTGTACGGTACTGCTTCGCATAGCTTTTGCGATCAATAATCGATTCTTCTGGTGTTTCCAAGCTAATTCTGGTTATTCGTAATTTTTTTCTACAATACTTTTTTTCTTCCATGAGAAATCTAGAGCTGCATCCGATTTATTATCAGTTCATGTTCGTGTAGCACAGTTGAGAAGCAACTGGTCTTTGGAACGTATAATATTATACCCGTGTTCACTTTAATCGCATGACTGATTTGCGGAACTCGCATTTTGCGATGATGCAAATAACCAAATCTTTCCTTTCTTCCATCATGTGGTTTTCGTATTGTTCGCCCAATAGAGCAGGTTTCCTTAGGCACGTTGTTCTCGTTTCTTTTCCGCATTGCTTTGATCCCTCATAGAGTAATTTAACGGACGGCCTTCACGCCAATGGTTATGGAACACTACTGGTTTTCGCCTTCCACATAAGTTCTTTTTTTACATTCTTATCTGCATCTTTGAGTACGATGACCCGGTTGGGCCTTCAGTATGGTTGTTTTCTTTTGAAAACTAAAAAACAACAACATGAAAGCCATTTTTGATTTGGTCCTTTCGCACGAATAGCACTTCTCTGCGTCTGTATAGCTGCTGCTTTTCTTCAGTTCGCCATGATCGTCGCGATGGACAGGCTTGTACATGCACAGTCATCATAGCTATTGCTCGGCAGAGAGTTCATCTTCATTTGCATTAATGGTGGTTCTGCTACGTAACTCCGCCTGTGATTTCCGGCGATGCTTCCTCACGGGTGTTTGTGGCACACAACGGCTCTTCCGCCCACTTTCGATTTGCGTGATATCCCTCAATTCGTTCAAAGCGGCTGACGATTTTAAGGCTCATTTTTGTGTGGGTTGAGGCATAATGTTGTTATGAAGCGATCATAGTTCGCAGGCGGCAGCCTTCTGAGTTGTTGATGAGGTTCCTCGCATAGTACTCGCTCGTGTTATTTGATTCGAAAGCATATCTCAAGAGAGGGGTACTTTTTCTATTTACCATAGTTCATGGAATAGTGCTTTCCTTTCTATGATCGGAAAATGTTCGAGAAGGGCAGAGTGAGAGTGAGTGCAACTCCGCTGCACCTTACTATTAGATAGGTTTCGCGTCACGAGTCCACGCGATGATTACGGTAGTTTCGTCCGAGTGACTAATAGAGAAGCGCAACAAACTCACTTTTCAACACGCAAACGCGAGATGATCGGAAACCATCCATAAGAAGAATTCCACCACTACCCGCTACGTCCACGATAGTGCAAAAGGTGGCTCCTAACACAAACCGTTTCCTCATATTTTTCTCTGAGCTGCCACTTATGCAGGTGTTTGGAGCACCCGAGCTGCCTGCATAATCGGTGTGTTGCCCATAGATGTATGCATCACGTTTTACCAAATAACATCATCTTTTTTTATTGTGTAGCATAAAAGTGGTAGATGGGTGGTGTCTTTCGAAGTAAGTGCGTGAATTCTTCTATTTAGGTAGGACTCTCTCCCAAATTCTGTTTGATTCTTCTTCTTCTTTTAGTATGAGCTGGAGCTAGATAGCGGACAGATCCAACTGTGTGAGGTGGTGCTTATTCAGTTGGTCGTTTAGTTCTCAAAGTCTGCCAGAAATGTGTTTATCGCTTTCAGCGGATTGAAAATATGGACGCTGCAGTGTAATTTGGCTGAAATCAGCTCCGCAAATCCCAGAAAACCAAAACTTTTTGAAGCAAAACAAACAACGAGGGAACATGCTCAGTTGCGAGTGGCATTGGTACCACGCCGTTGATACCGTTAAAGCTTGAGCCGTCAACTAGCCCCAAGCGTAATCGCCAACTTGGTGCCCGGACCCCAGGCGAGTAATTCTAGCAGCCCGTGTCATTGCAATCTTCCCACGATGTTCATCAGGAACACGGCAATTTTGATGAACAGGTTCTCTTCGAAGGCAGTTTCCAATGCTTGATGAACAGTTAACATAAAAAATGGAGAGAAGTGTTCATTTCGGTGTTGGATTCAGCGCAGGTTGAGTATAATGGAGTCGGGCAGAGTTCTCGCTGGAGACGGCTTCTAGCATCTCCAACATGACTTTTTCTTGAAAAGTACCACAATGCCTATCTTTTTTGTGTTGGGTTCACTGGTTCTCCCCCGTAATGTGTTCATGATAATAGCGCTTCAAGTGCTTCGGTTTAAAGTCATAATGGGTGACACGCCAGCAAGAATTTATTAAAAAGCATTGTGATTATTACTGCAGCACAATATTTTCGAAATTTCTGCTACATCTTGGACAAAGAAGAATTTGAGCTTGCGACCACGTTAATGTGCAGCTGAAATGGATCAAAGGGACTTCGAGCCCAGTTTGAAGCCAAGCCCTGGGATAAATTCGTGTGTGAGAGCGCTCAGTAATGAGAGTGGAGGTGCTTAGTGTGCTAAAAATGAAGGCTAAAGAGATCATCGAAAACTTTAAAATCACGGGTTTAATGCTTCTGGTGCGGTACGAGGAAGTTTTGCGTAATACGAGTGCGTATTGACAAATCCCAGACGCCCTGTCACT